GAAAATATATTGAACGCCAGGGACAGTTTGTCAGATTATGACCGAAACAAGTAAAACAAAGGATCCTTATGATAGTCATAAACAGGTAAAAAAGGTAAATGTAGTTTATTTCATTCTTCCAGTTGTAAACGGGCCGCTTTAAGGTTTGCGTCTGACACACAAGGAATCGCATTTCGCTCAAGAAAAAGATGGGTATAGCTTTCCTCAAAGTAGGTGTCCCGGGGCGTGGCGGTTTCCGGCAGTGAGTAGAGGAACTTAAAAATTTCTAATCATCGATGACTAGTTTTCAACTTTTGCTTTCAAGCCTCCGACCGAAAAGAAATTTGCATTAGCAGGTCCGGCATTAGTATTGTTTTAGGAAGAATTTTGAAAAGATCATTTTTAGTTTGTAAATTACCTTTCATGTCATAAAAAGTTTAAATTAAAGTATGCTAAACTACAAATAAACCAGTTTAACTTTCTTAGCAAAAATCAAAAAATCTAAACAAGCGCGTAAAGAACAGAAACTTTGGAATGCACCAACTTATATAAATCAAATTGTGTATGTATATGCATATTACTTTTGAAAATAAGAGGTCAATTTTTATTTTGATAATTTTACTAAGTTTATGTTTGGTAAGATGTAACAGCTAACTTTTGTGGAATCATCCATACTTAAATAAAACGAGAAAAATAAAATAACTAATCGGTACAAAAAACTATTAGAATTCCATGCCAAAAACAGTCAATGGACTCAAATAGTTTCACATAATATACCTACATACATAAAATTCAAAAACTTTAAGCAGTACCACAACAAATACCATAAACTATACCCTCTCATACACATTCCTTACTTGATTGATATCTCTGTTTACCATATAGGGGTATACAATTTGTCATATAAAACATTGAATTTGTGTTGGATTAACAGGCATAAAACTATCCCTTTTTAATCTCTTATTTGAGCTGTCGTCTGATACCAGGGGCCTATTTCATAAAACTTATTAGTCTAATATTATTGGCTAAAGTTTAATATTATGAGTAAGAAATATTAGTTTTAGTTTCATAATATTTTTAGGTAATAAAATTAGTTATTAGTAAACTTATTCTTAATATTAGTTTATTATGTTTGTAAAATTTGAAGTATGTTTCATAGTTAAAGTACACAAATAATTTTAAATAATAAATAACTACTAATATTATTACTTAATTTGCACTGATATTATATGTGACATACTTTATTTAAAAATTATGGATTCAGATTCAAGTGACGATGAAATTAGAATTGTAATTAGAAGACCGAGAATTTTCAGAGAGAGAATTTCATATGTACATTTAGAAGAAACCTACGAATTCAATAAAAGGTTTAGGTTATCTACTGTAAGTTTTAATATAATACTGCAATGGATAGAACATCTTTTATCTTCTGATACTCAAATAAATCATGCGCTTATAGCCAAGCAGCAATTGATAAGTGTACTACATTGGCTTGGAAGTGGGACGCAGTACCATGGTGTTGCAGATTTGCATAGTATTAGTAAAGCTACTGTATGCAGAGTTGTTCACAGAGTTGTTACAGCAATTAATCAAATTTTAATAAACGAAACAGTTTATTGGCCAGTGGAAGTGGCTGAAGTAATTCACGACTTCAGTGAAATGGCTGAAATGCCTCTTGTGTGTGGAGCAGTGGACGGGACTTTAATTAACATTGATATTCCAAGTCAATATGAGCCTGGTTTTGTGGATCGTCATGGTAATCATTCATTGAACGTGATGCTTGTATGTGGTCCAACAATGAAGTTTTATTATGCAAATGCCAATTGGCCTGGTAGTGTAAGCGATGCACGAGTTTGCAGGCGAAGTACATTTAGCATCAGAATGGAAGATGGTTGGAGACCTTTTCCAAATACCGTACTGTTAGGTGATTCAATTTACCCTTTAAAGCCTTGGCTTATACCACCTGTACTTCGTATTGCAGAAGATCCTGCACAACAAAGATTTTTAAGAGCACACAAAAGTACAAGGCGAGTTATTGAATGTGTCATTGGTATTTTGAAAGAAAAATTTACATGCCTCAACCATTTAAGATTAAAACCTAGATTTGCCTGCGAGGTAATAAAATGTTGCGTTGTACTCTGCAATTTAACAAAAGTAGATGTTGAGAGGTATAATAATAGAGAAGAAAATGATATTAACATTGATATGGTAGACGACGACGAACAATTAGCTAGAGAAGCAGGTGGCGAGGAAACATTACATTACTTTTATAATCAGTTTCGGAATGCCTGAAATAATATCTATAAATGTAAAGAAAACATTTTATTTTTCAGCATAGTGGAAAATTTATTTTGTATATATTTTTTGTTCTGCAAAATAATAAATTGGTAGGCATTCAAAAAGTAGCTACTTATTAAACTTTCATCAGTTACCTATAGTATTAAAATATAAATTAAAAATTAAAAAAAACCGACTTCAAAAACGTGCAGATGCCATCACCACATCTTAGCCAAATTTATATGGGACCACCCCTGAGGTACCCCCTTTCTAACAAAAAAGAATCATTGAAATCGGGCACCGTGTTAAAGAATTATCGCTGAACATACATTAAAAAAAAATATTTCGACGAATTAAGAACCTCCTTCTTTTTTGAAGTCGGTTAAAAATAAATATATAGGTTGGCAACGCTATGCTATGGCACACTTTACACATGATACTATAAAAAAAGGTTGATACTATGAAACTATTACTCAAGAAGATAATTCCACGCGCATCCCAGATAGCACAAATACGTCTTATGGACGTTCTAAAAACGTCCTGCTTGGACATTCAGGACGTCCTTAAAACGTCCATTTCACGGACGTGGGCGTCTTATGGACGTCTTTGGAACATCCATTGTTAATAATCAGGATGTCTTAAGAACGTCCATTTAAGGACATTCCATGGACATATTCAAAATCTGGAATGGGGAATAATAGGATGTAAGGAAATTAGTGAAAATAATGAATAATTTCAAAAAAATTTATTTGGAAGCAAATAACCTATAAATAATACAATTATTGAAACTTTTTCATCAAATTCACTCCGTTTCTCCTCTACTTTACTCTTTTCAACCATGCTTGGATTGACAGCAGTCACTTTTTTTCTTGATTTGGCCATATTTGCCTTCTCAGCTGAATCTGAAAATAATTTAATCGCTTATTCAAAATAAAAGGCAGATCAATATTAAAATCCAATCTGTTTGTTTAAGTTTGCCTTGCTAGACATTATATACATTCACTAACCTTTTAGCTTTGTAGTATTCATTGGAAAATTTCCACCTTTCTCAGACATAAAAATAGTACAAACTGCATAAAATTAATATTCATCAACCACAAACTCACAGAGTCGAATCACAGTCAAATGGCGGGATGATAGAACTTGTACTCGTATAATATGTATATAACATCGAATCATGAACATTGAACACATGTTTTTTCCTTTTTTTTAATAAAACCTGAGTCTTGAGATTAGAGAGTTATTGCAAGTTCACTTAAGCTCAGTCACTATTAGTGCCGCTCTTATTTTGACATCTGAGCATGCGCAGATCACTTACTTTAATAAAGATTGTGCCTGTCCTTAATAGAGAGATATTGCAAATTTCTATAAAGCCAGCCACTAATAGTGACATCGTGATTAGAGTCAAATAAATTCTATAATAGTACCTAATATTAAAGAGACATGAGAAATTATAATTTTAGAAGGTTTAAATGACGAGCGCATCCGAAAGCTATAAAGTCGCCACTACTTGCTGCCCTTAAACATCTACAATTAAGGACAGGCACAATCCTTAATAAAGTCAGTTTTAGAACATAAACATCTGCGCATGCTTTGATGTCAAAATAAGAGCGGCACTAATAGTGACTGACCCTAAGTGAACTTGCAATAACTCTCTTATTATGAACAGGCACAATCTTTATTACAGTTAGTGATCTACGCATGCTCAGATGTCAAAATAAGAGCGGCACTAATAGTGACTGACCTTAAGTGAACTTGCAATAACTCTCTAATATTTCAGTGCTTAAATCTTTAATAAATAAAAAATAAAATGACACTTGTCAACAATGTCTCTTTCTTGTAAATGACCTTCTTCGTTTTTATCTATTTGGCCTTTTTTCAATTGGATATTGGGACAATGTTATCTTTAATAATTATTTATATTATCTCATTATATATGTTTTTTATATAATATAACCAAATAATAATGCAATGCGAATGTGAATCCATGGAAATATAGTAAAGCACGTAAAATTAACGTTCTGCGGATATCTATTTCTTGACGTCCCGAGAATTTACTAAATTGGACATACTTAAAACGTCCATAATTGGTCCTGGACGTACATACCTTAAATGGACATGTAATGGACGTCCTTAGGACGTCCTGTGCTATCTGGGATGCGATCAACCCATCTCTCTCGAACGCCTGACGTCACTGGGAGACATTACCCGACTCAGCAACAGCCAGTTCTATACGACGCAAAGCGGTTTTGCGTGTATTACTGATTATTTAATTTTGTTTCTTTGGTTTGTTGTGTTTTAGAAGTAAACGTGCGTAAAACTTTCTATATGTTATATTTAAAAACATTGTTCTAAACATCTACTATGGTATACTGTGCAGTGGCAAATAAATTAAAAGTGTAAATTTGTAAATATTTGTCGTATAAAAATTAAGAATTAATAAATTGTTTATCATTTAAAAAACATTTACTGCCTCACTCGTAAATTTTCTTTTATTCTACTCAACATCAATGTACTTTTCAACCCTCTTCGAGGCTTGTATGCGAAAATGAGGCACCTAAATTAGTCATTATCTGACGGTCTATTAGTTAAATACCAGTTTGAGGAAATATCGCCCAACTCTATTGTACATTCATTAAAATGACATTTTTATAGTTAAGGTTTTACATGCGGGTAAATTTAAAGATGCTTTGTCAATTAGTATGTAAGGGACTGCTCTTTTATTTTTTAATTTTTGTTTTCAGTTATATGGTGTATCGTCACTTCTGTCAGCAGCTATTGCACTTGAAAATTACCAAGACGAGGAGGACCGTTTAAATCTGATTATGACCATTTTGTTGGGTGTGTTCAATATTTTCGTTGGAGGTGTAATGATATACGCATTAATAAAAGTGAGTTTATCTAAATTGTTTATACTACTAACGTTTTTAACGTATGATTTAAAATGTTTTAGGGCAATGAACGAACAGTGTTGCTTTACATCCTGTTGGAAATGGTGAACCTTTTCATTATTACAGTATTTTCTGCTATAAATATTTTCGAATACAAATCTTTGACTAGATCGGCCAGTTTGACAGGACTTTGCATCGGTTGCGGTGAGTAATAACTAATTTTAAGAGACAATTAGTCAAAAATCTATATTGTTAAAACATATACCTAATCCTAATATTCTAACACTACAAAAGACAACTTCTTTAAAGATATATGCATTTTGATTATTATAAAGAATTGCGAAATTATACTTCTTCAACTATTAAAAGGGAAAAAAGAGCCTATCTTGATTTCACATTAAGTAATGGTAAACTTAAAGAAAAATGGAAAGAGCTTAAACAATTAAGTATAACTTAGTAATAAAACAAGTTGTGAGTTGCCACTACTGTAGTTGATGTTCAGGGTATAAATCATTTTTTTGTAAATCCTACTGATCACATAGCGGAAGAGCCAGGATAATGAAATGTTGAACTCTTATTAAGGTAATTTAAAAGATTCTGTTAATTCTTTTCTCTCATTTTCCTGTGTGTCCGTATTAGATAACATTAACATTGTTAAAAGTATTAGGATCAAGGCATAGTTCAAAGAGTCAAATTATTATTCTTTGAATTTATTACTCATATTATAAACATGTGCATTAAAAAATCTTATTTTCCATAGTCATGGAAACATGCAATGGTAACTCCTCTTCTTAAAATTACTAAACCGTTAGAGTTATCTCATCTAAGAGGTATTAGTATTCTGCCTACTTTATCAAAGATTTTTGAAAGAGTTATTGGAAAGAAATTAAGAATACATTTAAATACCAATAATATTTTGCCTTCTCATCAGTCTGGATTTAGAGCTGGTTATAGTTGTGCAACTACCTTGACTGCTGTTACTGATGATATAATTTCGTCTCTCGATAAAAATCAGCTGGTTATCCTAAATTTAATTGACTATTCTAGAGCCTTTGATACTATAAATCACCGGATTCTCTGGGCAATTTTACATTTTGTAGGGTTAAGTGCTTCTGCTTAATAAAAAATGTATCGTCTTATTTCATTAACCGAACTCAACAAGTTAAACTGGGTCAAAAATTATCTAATATTAAAGAGATAAAGCAAGGTGTTCCCCAAGGCAGTATATTAGGACCGCTTTTATATTCCATTTATACTTCGAATTTACATACTTGTTTAAATTTTGGTATCATACATATGCAGATGATACTTAGCTGTATTATTCTTTTAAAAACAATGACATTTTAGATGTAAATGATAAAATTAATCAATACCTTTCTATACTTACAAAAATCTCAACTAAGCATAATTTAACAATAAACGCGAAAAAATCATCGGCCATTCTTTTTGCAAATAAGGCCCAAAAAAGGTAAGCTCTCAATCAGATAACATTGCGGTTAAACAATGAAAGCTTATTATTTTGGTGTGATAGGAAAATTATTGTTTGCATTTAATACAATGATGTTTTTTCACCATTTCAGTTTCACGGGTGATGTGTACCAAGTACCAAGCAAAAAATTGGCAGTTGGTACAGATTAACTACTTACAGTTGGTTGCTTAATTAAATGCGCGCTTCATTGTCTGTAATTTTGTAAAGTGCTGTATATAGTTAAAATATTATGTACGGTTTAAATGTTATTTTTTTAACATGCACCTTTGCAGCTACCTACTGCTATAATACAAAATTACACTATTAATGATTAAGAAATGAGGTCCATTTCCTAATTTGATAATTCTGATAACACAAAGTAGTCATTCCCTAATTATTTTAATAAAATCTTGTATGCCATAAAATGTCAAAAAATAAATAAAAAATTATCCAAAAGAGAGCTGTCAATTTTAATAATTATAAAAACTGATTAAAAATGAGTAGTAGTATATTATAGCTATTGAAAAAATATAGTGTTCAACTCACAAACTATTCCTTGCTCGTTAAAAAATATTCTATTTTAAAAAAATATATAGGGTGAATTCTTAGTTGATACTTTTTGTAACTATGTATAGAAGTCATTAAAATAAACAACTTTTTCAAGTAACTTTTTCAAGTAACTTTTTCAAGTAACTTTTACAAGTAACTTTTTCAAGTAACTTTTTCAAGTAACTTTTTCAAGTAACTTTTTCAAGTAACTTTTTCAAGTAACTTTTTCAAGTAACTTTTTCAAGTAACTTTTTCAAGTAACTTTTTCAAGTAACTTTTTCAAGTAACTTTTTCAAGTAACTTTTTCAAGTAACTTTTTCAAGTAACTTTTTCAAGTAACTTTTTCAAGTAACTTTTTCAAGTAACTTTTTCAAGTAACTTTTTCAAGTAACTTTTTCAAGTAACTTTTTCAAGTAACTTTTTCAAGTAACTTTTTCAAGTAACTTTTTCAAGTAACTTTTTCAAGTAACTTTTTCAAGTAACTTTTTCAAGTAACTTTTTCAAGTAACTTTTTCAAGTAACTTTTTCAAGTAACTTTTTCAAGTAACTTTTTCAAAAACCCAATATGGTCCTATCTAACTTAAATAATGTGTAGATGTTTCAAGTTGTAGTGGTTACCTAAACGCGCACAGCATCCTATGGGGAAGCGACTTTTAGAATATTTTTTTAATAAGAACCTTATTGTGCAAAATATTGGGAATACTCAAACATTTGTAGCAAGGGCAAGAAGTGAGGTATTAGACATCACATTAAGCACACCGAACATTAAAGATCTAGTTAAAAACTGGAGAGTATCGAATGAACCATCTCTATCTGATCACAAGATAATTGTGTTTACGTTAGAGAGCGACATTCCTGAGACGATCCTCAGGAGAAATCCTAGAAAAATAGACTGGGACAAATACAATACCATTCTAAAACAAAATTTAGCACGTATCCAGACAAAAAAGAGGCCCAGGTACCCACTTGCTCTGGAAAACGATCTCGAAGAACTAAATGGGGCAATACTTAAGGCATATGAATCAGGCTGCCCCATTCAAAGAAATAGAACTAGTAGGATGTTCCTTGGTGGAACCGTCATCTGTCAAACTTACGATCCGAAGTGCGGAAGCTCTATAATAGGGCCAAGCACAGCGGAGATTGGCAGAGCTACACCGAGACGCTTCCTACCTACACCAAAGAAATTAGGAAAGCTAAACGTAACAGCTTTAAAAAATTCTGCGAGGATAACAACTGCGGCAGCGAGACTGCACAGGGCCCTGGCAAAAGGGAGGTTGATACAGTTAAGGCATTAAAGAAACCAAATGGAAGATTCACAGAAAGTGAGGAGGAAAGAGCTCGCCCCTTACTCGAAACTCACTTTCCTGGAAGAACACCTTTTCTAATAAGGGACACAACTAAGGTAAGCAGGCCCCCAAGAGAGGCCGCTGTAGTGGCCAAACACATATGCAGCAGAAATCGGTTAAAGTGGGCCGTAAACACTTTTGAACCATTTAAGTCTCCAGGTGTGGATGGAATATTTCCTGCCCTGCTTTAGCAGGCACAGGAGGAATTACTACCACACATAGTCCGGCTATCCGGGAGCAGTCTGGAGCTGGAATATATACTAGAAGCATGGAGAAGGTCCAGAGTCACCTTTATTCCAAAAGCAGGGGAAAAGGATACCACACATCCTAAATCCTTCCGACCAATCAGCCTCACATCCTTTGAATTAAAAACAATGGAGAAGGCTGTTGATAATTATATCAGAACGGAAGTCCTGGAGAGGGTGTCATTCCACCACAGCCAACACGCGTTCGGAGCAGGAAGATCTACAGAAACTGCCCTGGTACAGTTGACTAACGTAATCCAGGATGCACTGACAAACAAAGAAACGGTCGTGTGTGCCTTCCTAGACATAGAAGGAGCTTTTGACAACACATCACAAGAATCGGTAAAAAGATCACTTGCATACAGAGGAGTAGATAACATCATATCCAGATGGATAGCTCAGCCATTAGCTATGAGAACTGCAGAGACACAGATAATAGGGCAGGAGACCATCTCCATCTGCACAACCAGAGGATGTCCACAAGGAGGAGTTATATCCCCACTAATATGGAGCCTAACCGTAGACGAACTTCTATGCAGACTAACTGACCTCGACATACCCTGTCAAGGTTATGCCGACGACATAGTTATATTTGCTAGAGGCAAGTTTAGAAACATCCTGTGGACTAGAACATACCAAAAGATGGTCCCGTGAAGTAGGACTTAGTATAAACCCTACAAAAACAATACTAGTAGCCTTTTCAAGAAAAAGAAAACGATCTGAAAACCGTTAAATTAGACGGGTAGATACAGAATGGAAAAATGAAGTCAAATATCTAGGCCTAACCCTGGACAACAAACTTCTCTGAAACACACATGAGAAGGAAGTAGTAAATAAGGCCACAAAAGCCCTAATGGTATGCAGAAACATTGCAGGTAAACGATGGGGATGTAACCCAAACATACTGCGATGGATGTATACTGCAATAGTGAGACCAATCATCACTTACGGGGCTATAGCCTGGAGTAACAGAACTAGTTTAGCTACTACGAGAGCTAATATCTCAAAAGTATAAAGACTAGCCTGTGTTTGCATTGCTGGTGCAATGAGAACCTGTCCTACGGCCGCAATGAAGGTGATCTTAAACCTCACCCATCTACATTTGATTATAGAGAATGTGGCAAAAAGGATGCGATATAGAATGATCAGGAACGGAGTAATCAGACGAAAGTCTACTTGCTTCAGGACTAAAGATAACTGGGCATGCCCCAGGATGAAATGCTAAAGAAGTACAGTTTTGTGAAAAACTTCAAAACCACAGAGCTAGGCTGCAAGAAAGAATGGAGCCAAGAATCCATCACGCTTGCAACCGAAAGACGTACTATTCATTGGCATACGGACGATTCCAAAACTGGAGCTGGAATAGTGTATGGGCCGAGAACCAAGCACTCCGAAAGCTTGGGAAAATACCCAAGCACCTTCCAGGTGGAAACTCACGCCATCGAGAAGTTTATCCAGTTTAACATCGAGAAAAACTATCATAGACAAGAGATTATCATCATTTCCAATAGTCAAGCAGCCATCAAAGCGCTGAACTCTTACGTAATCACCTCAAAAATGGTCTGGAGATACCTAGAACAATTGAATGAGCTAGGTGAGAAAAATAGAGTTACTCTAACTTGGGTCCCGGGACATAACAGGGTACAGGGTAACGAGATTGCAGATAGTCTTGCAAGGAGAGGGGCTCAAACACCCTTTGTAGGACCTGAGCCGTCCTTCGGTATCAGCAGTAACATAATATTAGGAGAGATTAAAAAAAATTGGGCAGTAGAAGAACCGATAATTGGCATAATATCTTGAGGCTGAGATGGGCCAAGATACTTCTGGGTGAATATAACCAGAAAAGTCTGCATCTGCCTGAGCAAGAACAGGCTACGTATTGTAACAGGGATCCTTACCGGGCATTGCCGACTAAAAGGACACCTAAGAAAACTGAGAGTAGTAGAGGATAGTAAGTGCAGATTCTGTGAGGAGGATAACGAAACCTCCATTCACATCCTAACTGAATGTGTAGCACTCCAGAATCCAAGAGCATTATATCTAGGAGGATATCAAATAGAAGAGGGAGATTTACCTAATTTGAAGCCACTTTAAATCCAACACTTCCTTGAGAAAATACAATTGGAAGGGTCGTTATAGGCATTGACACATTTCCTTGGTACATTGGCGACAGAAGGGGGCACAATAGATCTTTTAGGTCGCAGTGTATTTACACCCCATACCCAACATAACATAACATACCTAAACACGTTGAACATGAAAGGGATACAATTTTTCGTTCAATGTTGTGCACACTTTTCTTTCGCTTGTCCCTACAATTACTTACATTGTTAGATCTTTCTCGATAGCATTTAAAATTTGTTCTTCTAAACGCATTTTATTTTCAATTTATCATACTGAACAATTTAACTTCAGATAAATATACTACTGAAATCACACGCGACTAAATTAAAATAACCGGTACACAATGAATCATGATTCACAAGAAAAACCGAAAAAAAGACAAAAACATAAATAGCTTAACTTTTCATACTCAGCCAGATTTTAATTTCTTGATTCTATATATTTCTTGTTTTTAAGTTAAAAAAAAAAAAAGATATTTTAAAAAGATATTAATTTTAACGACTTCTATGTACAGTTAAAAAAGTATCAACTTACTTAACCTAAAACAAGAGTTGTAAGTAACCCATTACGCACGAAGTAAAAAAGTTTACCCACGAAGCCGCGCAGCAGCAAGTGCGTAAATTTTACGAGTGCGTAATGGGCTTACAACACGTGTAACGTTCTATACTTTTTCTACGCCCACTTAAAACATTCTCAAAAAAGGATGTAACGTTATGATTGTGTCGCCAATCCATAAATTTTCGATAGGTAATTTCGTACCTTTCTTTGGATTTTAGCGGTAACAAATTATGTGTGACAGCTTGAGCTTTTTCTAAAATCTCCGATGGAGTGCTCATAATTTCATCACTTTCACTGCTAACAAACATATTCGTAGGTAAAGTTGAGAAAATGTTCGGATACAATCATATTTTGCTACCAAAATTGACAATATAAATGGCATGACTTTTATTTCCATAGCATTCTAAGCAAACGCGACATATTTTTTTAAAAATTGTGTAATATGTTACAGCCATTTAGGGGCATCATTCTTTTAATCCAAAATGTATCTCGCTAATGCTAAAAGTTTTTGTTTTGTAAATGACTAAATTTATGTAAATATACCAAATAAAGTCGAACTTAGACAAAAATTTGATTGCAACTTGATTAAACCAAAAAAAAATTAAGTTTTCTTATCAAAACGCACGTGTATGGTATGAGATCTCATTATGTGCATGTTATTGTTAAATGTCATTTACAAGGAATGTTGATAGATTTTTAACGTGTACTGACATGGGCGTAGAAAAAAATTAATAACAGTATATTTTATTCCAGTTTTACTATGGTATGGACTTTACTGTATGGTATCTTTCTATAATGAACTGGAAGAATACAACAAGACCACTATTAAATCCGGACTTATTGAGTATTCTGCCACCAATGGTACAACTGGCTTGGAACCGGTAATGTTTCCAGAAAAAGCAATTGACAGTACAGCAGTATAAATGTTATTAAAAAAAAATATGAAATGAATTATTTTTGTCAAATTTTACGGGATATTAGTATTAGTTTTATTATGAAATAAAGAATCTAAGCTCAAATAATGTAAAAGTATAAAAGTGGAATTTAATATTATTTAGCTAATCTGTATTTTAAGTAAACAAATAATGTAAAAGTATAAAAAATTATGTGGAATTAAATATTTCTTAGCTAATCTGTATTTTAAGTAAATTAATTACTATTGATACTAAAATAAAATATTTCTTTGAATTTTAAGCATTATCTTAGTTCATGTCTTTTTTTATTTCAGGCTTATAATAAAAATTATTTGAATTATTAGAAAATAGTTATTTTTGTATTAGGTACATCTTGGTGTTCGTGTTTCTTTAAAGAGACCAAAAATTCGAATTCATCGTAAACCACTGATTTATCCAGAAAATACGAACAATATTGTTTGTCTAACTTTCCAAACAATAATGCCAATAAGTAAAAGACCATTTGTAACTATTGATAGGTCTTTAGCTACTGTTGTTAGTCTACTATTAAGGGATTAAGGCAGCACTGTCACCAGCCAAAGGGTCCTGGAGTTCAGAAGGAACCTCCATTCACCAGAGGCAAATGAAAATTAAAAAAAAATTAAACTAGAAGAACAAAAATTATCCCTTAATAGCATGTACCGAATTTTATACGCAGCAGGGATTCAAAAATGTCCGCCTTCTCCCCATTCTAAACACCACTTAGGTAGTACAACATACATTGGTGTGTGGTTGGTTGCATATTATTCACAACATACATTGGTGTATGGTTGGTTACATATTATTCATTAGATTTTTATTTATTAAATCGCTACACCGAACGTCCTAAGACTAACTCCTCCTACATAATTTAATAACTTTATTTAATTATAATAAAATTGTATGTCGATCGCTTATTTTATGTTAGGTACCTCTCTATAATAAGTGTATTCGAATATTTTTCCTATATTATATTAAATTTTTTATGTGAAATTTCATTATACAGTGTGTGCCATAAAGTTGGATCCATATGGGATTTTGTTTTTATATTACGATTGGCAATCACCTCTGCTTATTTAAAAACTCAAAATAGCCCATATCAAAATTGGCTACTGACATTAGTTTTGTCAAATTTGCATTAAATTTTTTTTTTTTTTCAATTTGACAAAAGCAGAAGTGAATGCCCTACGACATTTTTTCCAATCGCATTATTAAAAAAAAATCCCATATTGATCCAACTTTATTGAACACACTGAATATAGTAAGTGCCAATTTGTAAAATAATTTTCTTGTTTTTATACTGCATTGTTTGTTTCCCCTAAGGGACTAAAAAATAATATATTGTGTCGCAAGGGCTAAAAATGAACATTAGCAGCCCGCGGCTATATCTAGGGGCCAACTAGTGCCAACCAATGGGCATTATGTGTCAATTTACGACAGCACTGTATAGACTGTAATAGAGACAGTTTCAAGAATATAAAATAATGTTACAATATTTTAGAAAAATGTTTTAATTTAAATAGTAGTAATAACACCGGTAGAAAAATATATCAATCTTTAAAGATTCTTATTGAATCAGAATATATATAAATATTATAAAAACTGAACTTAGAACTTATATAAATAAAATCTTTCATCAAATCTCTCCCTCTTCAAATGTATACTCTTTTATAAAAATGAAGTCCCTGGATAAATTGTTCTTGAGGTAATGAACAAAAAAGAGAGACACGATCGATGCTATTATCTGAAAACAAAGAGACCATTAGCACGAAGAAACATCAAAGAATAATTAATAAAAGTTCAGTAAAAGGTACAAATGAACAGAAATATGAACCCTTTGTCTGGCATTAAAATATTTAACAGTTTTTTTTTATATATCAGTTTCATACATAATTAATTTATCATGATTGATGGTTTGATGATTAGAAAGATATATTAGTAAAAATATCAATGTATAATGAAAACATGTTAGTCACAACCACAAGTAATCAGAAAGTGTGTCATATGAAGTGCTAAATCAATTTTATTTTCCTATTCCATAAAGGGACAGGAAATTGCTGAAAAATGACTTACCTCCGCAAGAGATAAAACAATAATGACAGTTCCCAAAACATGCTGGCAGTATTTGACATATTCGAACATTTCAATGCTACAAGAACTTCTAAATATATCCGTCGAATCAGTTTTTAGACAACTTCTTGGTATAAGATGGTCCCAAAAATCAGGTCCGTTAAAGCCACAACATCTTAACTAGAACAAAAGAGATATAATAACGTACGGTTGATAAGTCTTGCGAAAAAGTTTCAAGGATCATTATGAGATGACCTCCGAGCAATTACTAATAGAGGGAGCGTGAAAACGAGTTTGTAGGCGATTGTTGTGTTAGCAACATCTGTAGAGGAAGTGAGGAAGCGGGCACAAGGGGGAAGGTAAACATCCTTCTTGTTCAGTGGCGTATCATTTATCTATTAAAACACACATTGTGCAAACGTTTTAATTGTAAAAAAAAATAAAAAATTCGCTAATTTTACTATTTTTAAAATGAATACCATCTTATATGTGTCTAATGCAGGAAATGAAACAAAATCACTGTAGAGGTCTAATTTTTCCAATTGAAGAATAAAACCTTAAAATCAATTTTATTATAAATAAATACAGGAGCGACTAGTTTCGGCCTTACAGGAACATCTTCAGGCCTGTAACACAATAATCTTTAATTATTATAATAGGTTGGTCACTTACGAATAACATTAAATAGTATAAACCACAAAAATGGATCCATATTGTAGCGTTACAGCATTATAAAATTAAAGCTGTGAAAATAAAAGAGCAGTGCAACTGAGTACGGAATCTACAAGAGAAGAGGTGAGAATGAGCAATTACGAATGCATTTAAATTGCTCGGGATAACAAATAAAGCTGATAATGTAGTGGTATAGTCCCCGTCAAAGAAGGTCTGAATATGTTAAAGAGGACGGCGTTTTCTCTGTAAATCTGGAGAATGTAACGATGGAGGGAAGACGAATCTTGCTGGCTCAGGTGTAGATGGCTAGAAAAAGGAGCGTATAGATGAAAGCTCCAGTAAATATCGTCACTTTCGTCTAATTTTTTATTCTCACTCACCGTTTCGGCTTTATCTTCGAAATTCTTTTTTAAAAGGAAATAAAAGTAATCATTCATACAAGCATATAATAAAACAACATGAATTCATTATATTTAATAACGTTTATTTCAATGAAAAAAACATATATATGAATATAAAAAATATAAAAATAGATAAGATTAATATCAAAATCAATTTGAAAATACAACAGATAATAAAATGAAATAAATTAATACAAGTACAAATAGAAAGTTAATAACATACCTTCTAAAAGTAACACATTTTAAGTAGATAAATATTTAAAGAGTTTATTCCTGAACATAACTAGTCTAACCTTTTTCCCCTTTTTAATATTATGAGGGTTTTTGTAGTTGAAATGAAAATTATAATTTATTTTGGTCCTAATAAAAATTTAAACATAGGTTATCAAAGAGTAAAATACATAATATAACTTCATGATCTTAAATCGTTATCAAAAATTATTAATGGTGAAACTTCAAACAATAATCAGATTCTTAAACAAATTTCTAATTTTTGTTTTGCAAGAGACTTTTTTGCCTTCTTCGGTTACCTCTGCCACTTTTCTTTTAGTAATTTCGAGGAGAATTTTTTTATGGAAACCAGTAGAACCATCAATTGGTTGGTAAAATTTTAAAATTTTGGGTCTGGTAAGTCTTGTTAAACTTTCTTCTTGGGAAGCTGTAACTTTATCATTTTAGGATGTCGTAATAGGTTTTAACTTAAAAACTAAATAAAATGTATATTGCAACTGTATTTAAATAAATGAATGTTTTTATACCTAACTATAGCACCAGACAAACATTTTTTTAGATCATAATGATCTGCATAACTCAAAATAGTCAAAACCCACATTATTTAAGTTGTTCTAGTATTGTTTTAGCATAACGATGTAAACTCCAATAATAAATATTCACATTTTTTTGGGACGTTTTTTAAGGAAATTAAAAAAAACATGAATAATGTGATATTCTTGTTTAGTTTTGTACTATATAATATAGTTCATTAGGTAGTGATTTAGAAGCAAATTATGTTCTATTTATAGAATAAAAAATTACTCATAATATCTAAATATTTATACCTATTTATATTTTGGACAGGAAGACTATTTTATGTTTTTGACTATGAATAGTTTTCTTAAGAATTTTAAAACCTTGCTTAGCTCTTTTGGGATATTCCATGCATATCTTAGAAGTTCATTTTGTTTAAACCTAAAACAAATTAAGTACAAAAAATGAAAATTTAAACAATACACAAAATTAGTCTTTTAGATTAGTTAAAAAAAAGTGTTAACAAAAAAATGGCTATGCCTTTTTCCTTAAACATTCTTTTTGAAAGAAACTTAAGTTTCTTTACTTACTTGCTGTTTTAGTATTTTAGTAGCAGATGATTATAGTGTAGAAGTAGTGACAGGATTTATTATTATACTTCTTTCATCAAAATTGCAAGTTTCTAAAATTTTTTTTCCCCTGAGGTCTGTAATAAAAATGTTCATTAGAATAAAAAGTTATTTAGGTGGTCACTTGTTGAATTCCTATATTTTGGAACCATGTATTTCTTTCTCATATCAAGAAAAGGAAACCTAAGAAAAATAACAATAAACTTGATATTAAAATAATAATAAGTAATTAACCTTTACTATAATCATTATGAGACGGATGAAGACGAACTTAGCTGGAGTTTACTTGCTCTTAATTTTAATGTTTCGACAAGAAAATAAGAAAGTTTAATTGCAAATTAAAGGTGATTGTCTAATGCACCACCTCTGATAATTAGATTGTGTCTGTACTTACTTATAATATTATCTTGAAGAAGCATTTGCAACAGGCCTTTTACACATAAAGCATGTTTTGACCATATTATTAGAGATAATAAATCTTAAATATACATTTACAACCTTTACAACGTTATAAATAATAATATTTTCCGTAAAATACAAATAAGAAATTGACATGTGTCAGAAAGTGTCAGAATTGGCGCTGTCAAACTTGGCAACGCTGATTAAATAAGCCAATTGGAGAAGAGGTATTTTCCCCCTCGGGGGGAGTAGATGTTGCTAACAAAATTTAGCGCGGGGAAGGGGGAAGACTCCCTCTAGTAGTAATTGCTCGGAGGAGATGACTATGTGATATTACAAGATGGCTACGGAAACAAAAGTTGGTTTGGTCTCCAAGCTTCAATTTGACATTTATAGATTAAAATTTTCACTCATAAAGTCGTATAAATTGTAAATCCAAAAAAGTATTTACATTTAGGTTGGGCGAATGCCTAAGATTAAAATTGTTCGAGTACCATATACCGGACCATAGCAGATTGCGAACGGGGAATGCCGTGCCAAAATTTGCCGAAAAGTGGAAGACCACCTCATTTCAATCCTCATCAGTGAGAAGAACAAAAAACAGGGTCGGAGTGTGTGATATTATTTAGTACCCTCCGTACTTAATGTTGTCTTATTATTTGATATTTATTTCTTAGAATTACAATTTGGAGGTAAAAAGGCTCCGATTCAAATCTCTAGCTTAGTTGCTGCTAAGATACCAGAAGCTTGCCTTTTTGAGAATATGCATCCTGTCATTCCATAGCCACAAAATCTAGAAGGCATTCTCAAATTAAAAATAAAGCTATTAAGTCTGAAATCACAAAGCTCTTAGAAGAAGGAATAATCGAAGAAAGTCGGTCCCCTTGGAGAGCGCAAGTTTTAGTCACGTCAAGAGCGAATCAAAAAAAAAGAATGGTGGTTGATTACTCCCAAACTGTAAATAAATTTACATTTCTAGATGCATTTGCTCTTCCCAGAGTAGACGAAACAGTTCATCGAATTGCAAACTACAGGGTAAAAGACAAAAATGTCCTAAGTATACCTCTACTCAGCTGGACAGAATACCACGATGCTGCGGATATCTTCGACGCGTACATGCAAATAACAAGTTGATAATTATTGATGATGAAAAATATTTTACTTTGGAGGACTCCGAAATAAAAGAAAACGTTAGATTTTACACAGATAACATAAAAGAACGTCCAGACATGTAAGGTTCACGACAAAAGCAAAATTTTCTGACAAAATTTGCAAGCCATATATTGGTCATGTTAGGGGCGATGCACTACATATCAAGCGCTGTATTGACAACTGTTTAACAAAATTGACCAACTTTATTGAAGAGAATCATGCTGCTAACGAAATAATGTTTTGGCCCGACTTGGCATCATGTCATTATGCGAGACAAACGCAAAACTGGCTTAGACAACAGAATATTCCGTACGTTCCGAAAATTGATAACCCTTCTGGGACCGCTTTTATTTATACTATTCGTAAATGACATTATTAATGACGTTAACGTAAAATATTTAATTTATGCAGACGATGTCAAATTTTTTTATCAGGTAGATATCTTAAATGATTGTCTTAAATTACAAAGTAATATTAATAAAATAAATAATTGGTGTTTAAAAAATAATCTTCCATTAAATTCAAAAAAATGTAATATAGTGTCATATACCAAAAAAGATTTTCCAATTCTCTATAACTACTGTTTGGATGGTGTTATATTAAATAGGCCTGATTTTGTTATAGATCTTGGGGTAAAGTTCGATAGAAAACTTACTTTTAATGAACATCTAAATGACGTGGTAAAAGCATCATTCAGAAATTTGGGATTTATCATTAGGCATGCAGTTGACCTCAATTCTATCGAAACCATGAATATGTTGTACAATGCGTTTGTCAAATCAAAATTAGAATATGCTTCAATAATATGGAAACCATTTTATGATATTCACATAAGCGCTCTTGAAAACGTTCAAAGACGATATCTAAAATTCTTGACATTTAAGATAGACGGAACATATCCACCAATTGGGATAAATCACACGTTACTTCTAAATAGATTTCAAATGCAAAGCTTAGAATGTAGACGAAAAAATCATTCGTTAATATTCCTCTATAAACTTATTAACTACCAAATTGATTGTTCCGAGTTATTAGAACAACTTGTATTTAAAGTGCCAAGAACTGAATCTCGAAACAACTTAATGTTTTATCTCCCGCTATCTCGGACAAATTTATTAAAAAACTCGCCGTTGTATTTTATGTGTGAAAACTGCAACAACCTGCAAGGTAGAATTGATTTATTTTCTTGTAAGCTTTCGCAGCTCAAAAAATTGTAAAGCTGTTTCGGTACTATTTGCTTGTGTATAGTCATTAATTTATTTAATTTTTTGTCATATTATGTAATTTTTGTTATATTGTGTAAGTTTTGTTATGTTGTGTAATTTATCTTATATCCAAATTATGTCTTATTGTGCAATATGTTATATTTATATTTACTTTTGTAATTACAATTTTTTTCCTGCTCTATAACTAGGCATTTAGCCTGTAGAGCAGTGTATTTAATAAATAAATAAATAAATAAATAAATAAATAAATAAATAAATAAATAAATAAATAAATAAATAAATAAATAAATAAATAAATAAATAAATAAATAAATAAATAAATAAATAAATAAATAAATAAATAAATAAATAAATAAATAAATAAATAAATAAATAAATAAATAAATAAATAAATAAATAAATAAATAAATAAATAAATAAATAAATAAATAAATAAATAAATAAATAAATAAATAAATAAATAAATAAATAAATAAATAAATAAATAAATAAATAAATAAATAAATAAATAAATAAATAAATAAATAAATAAATAAATAAATAAATAAATAAATAAATAAATAAATAAATAAATAAATAAATAAATAAATAAATAAATAAATAAATAAATAAATAAATAAATAAATAAATAAATAAATAAATAAATAAATAAATAAATAAATAAATAAATAAATAAATAAATAAATAAATAAATAAATAAATAAATAAATAAATAAATAAATAAATAAATAAATAAATAAATAAATAAATAAATAAATAAATAAATAAATAAATAAATAAATAAATAAATAAATAAATAAATAAATAAATAAATAAATAAATAAATAAATAAATAAATAAATAAATAAATAAATAAATAAATAAATAAATAAATAAATAAATAAATAAATAAATAAATAAATAAATAAATAAATACCCCAGGCTAGCGATATCGAAGATTTTTGGGCACTATTGTCACGAAAAGTGTACGACAATGGATGGTCTGCTCAAAACGGAGACCAACTACGACCTAGAATTATGAATAAGGTTCGACAATTTGACGCTGAGGATGCCCAAACACTTATGTTATAGTTTTTGAATAAAGTTATTTCAGTTTGAAAATATTTCGCAAAACTTATGAACCATACGTTAATTATCATCCGTATTTTAGAAGACGAAATGGAATCTCAACTAGTCAAATTAGCAATAAAACTGTTGAAAAGTCATAAAAAATTTAAATCAATAGTACACAAAGATGAAAAGTTGAGTCTGATTTGGTCATTAGTGAATATTGGTTACTTCCTAAATGAATAGAACAAAATAGAACAAAACTGAACATGCTTATCTTATATTAAAAACGAGAAAACAAACTTACTCTGTGTTGGATAAGATCAACAAGTTGCTTTCCACTAGAACGCCTAAATACATCCTCCATTGTCACGTCCAGATGATGTTTAAAAATTTGTTCATTTCCTAATTTATATATGGCATTTATTCCTATTCCCAGTTGTATCACAAATTGCAGAAGAAGTATAATAATGTACTAAAAGATAATTAATAAAGTATTATTAAAAATTTAAAATATATATATTATATAGTTCGGGACCAAAGACATTTGTAATGTCTTTGTTCGGGACACACTGAGAATGCAGTATGGCCAGGCACATTGTATTTTCGATAGCTGTGACAGTAGTACTCAATGTTATTGGCGCATGTATTTTTGGTTGCATATATGAGAATCGTTTGTCCTTCTTGATGTCTATTTGGACGGTTTTTTGCAGAAAGGACTGTGAACTTGTGATTTTAAGACTTTCGCATTATATTGCATTAAGAACCGTAACCTCTACCTTTACTGCAACAAAAGATCCAGGCCACATTCTGGTACCTAGCTTTATTTGTTAGCCAATGAACCAACCGACTAAGTGGGTTAAGCAAGTAACCTGCCTTTAAAATCAATTCAAGCGGCTTGGTTGCTTTTTGCAAAATAGAGAAGAGAGTTTGTGACAGTTCGTTATTTGGTTCTCTGTGAGAGTGAGTGTAAAGTAGTAAAAATAGGAAAACAAATATATTTGTGATACAATATGAATGATAATATTAGCATATCTCTAAAAAATTATGATCACAAAAGTTTTGGTCAGGTAAATCATGTATTAAGATAATAAATAGCAAAATAGTTGAAAATAAAAAAAGTTAGCCGTTTAAAAATACGTAAGATATTTTTTAATAAAAAAAAAATTCAATGTTTCTGAAAAACAAATTTTAAAGGCGAAATGCTGAAATCAGAAAAACAAATGGATCGTACGGCTAATACCACTGTAACTTGAAGGAAAAAAAGTATAAAATCCAAAGATAGAAGACAAAAAAATCTATTATGCACTTAATTCCGAACGATTGCATGCAATTTTATAGACATATAACCGACACGGACATCGACGACAATGTGGATGGATTCAGCGGAGCGCCTGATTTTGAACTAAAATCTATGATGGTAGAATAAATAAAAAGGCAACATGTATGTTTTACCAACTTCCTTTAACAATGAAGTATCTTTATCCAAAAAGTGCTAAAATTTATTTTAAAGAAAGGAGCCGAATCACAAAAACCAACAATCCAAGTAATATATCTTCTTTTTTTAATTTGTAAGGCTTGCGCCACGTTAGGCATACGTTCAACCACCGATCTTCAGCAGCAATCTGCTGTAGACCAGCGGCGGTTCCTCAATAAGTGCACATGTGCACGTGCACCCCCAAATTTAATGCCTCTTGAAAAAAAAAACTATTTAAATCCTGTGATTCTGTCCTGTCATTATTTTAATAATTATTTTTATTTAAAAAACGATCAATTATTTCGTAAACAAAACTCCAAATCGCAAGACGCTATGCGTAACGTGAGAAGTCCAGCCGAGAAAAAAAAATACAGCCGTTCGCTTTGCACGTCGCCCGCCGCGATATCTTCGTACACTGCACATCGGAATATTCGATCCGATTGGTCAATCTTCTCCCTCCCTCACCGCGGCAGTCTAGTGTGACGTTCGATGTTTCTACTGGCACGCGTGCACATAAAATTTGTGCACTTGTAGCTTGCGTGGGGAGCGTAATAATCGGTGCCGCGCTGTCGAAACGGGAATTTTGTTAAAATGACGGACATTAGCGTGCAATATTTAAAGACAATTAATTTTTCTTCCCTTCCTTTAGAAGAAAAAATAAAAATTAAAAGTGTTGGGCGTCCGAAACCAAGTGTATTAATTACGAATGTAACTAAATGCAAAAGTCGTGAATATAAACGTACTTTTAAAACAGATACTTATGAAAAAACTGACTGGTTGTGCGGGTGTGATGTGAGTAACAGTCTTTACTGCTTTCCTTGTTTATTATTTGGAAGCGACGAGGCATCAGAATGGACAAAATCTGGCGTTAGAGATTTAATACATTTATCCGAAAAAATTAAAAAACATCAAAATTCAAAGTCACATTTATCTGCTAAATTAGGATATAATTTATTAGGTAAACAAGATATTCGACAACAATTAAATAGTGCATATCGAGCAAGCATTCAAAAACATAATGACCAAGTAAAGAAAAATAGGTATGTTTTATCTAAAATTATAAACTGTATAAAATTTTGTGGTGCTTTTGAGCTTGCTCTCCGTGGACATGATGAACAAGAAGATTCTGTGAACCCTGGTATATTTAGAGGACTTATAAATTTTTCTGCCGAACTGGATTTAGCACTGAGGGATCATTTGCAGCAAGCTACTGTGTTTAAAGGTACATCAAAAGACATTCAAAACGATTTATTGGAATGTATTCTTTTCGTGTGTCAGGCACATATCAAAAAAGAAATTGCCGCCTCGAAATTTGTGTCCATTATGAGTGACGAAACAAGTGATATTTCCAATATTTTCCAAATGGTTATAGTTTACCGTTATACTTTACCGAACGGCAGCCCCGTTGAACGATTTTGGACTTTTGTAAAACCGAATGAACATGATGCTGTTGCTTTAGCTCGCTGCATAGAAGAAGCGTTAAATTATGTTTTAAGAAATCCTGATCAGTTGATTTCCCAAAGTTATGACAGAGCAAGCGTCATGAGTGGCGCTCATGGTGGTGTACAAAAACTTATTAAAGATAAATTTAAATACGCCCATTATATTCATTGCTATGCTCACCAATTAAACTTGATAATGTCTCAGGCAACAAGCATAAATACGAATGCACGTATTTTTTTTGCCGAACTGAGTGACATTACCAATTTTTTTTCCAACTCTCCAAAAAGAGTTGCCATATTGGATGAAGTGGTTGGAAATAGAGTTCCAAGAGCATCTGCTACCAGGTGGAACTTCAAAATTAGAACCGTTAATACAGTATATGAAAACCGGGAGTCCCTTATAGCGTGTATGGAAACAATACAATCTACATCCAGACAATCTGATACCATCACGAAGGCAGGCGCACTTTTAAGATTATTGCATGATCCTAAGTTTATTTTTTGGTTGTCAGTTTTTCATCGTATAATGCCCCACGTCAACATTTTATATTCACAGCTGCAAAAAAGAGCTACTGATTCAGTAACCGTAAAAAGATGCATTACTGAGTTTGAGCAAAATATTCAGAAAGAACGAGATAATATACATACTATTAAAGAAACTGAGTTAGCAAACATTGATGACAATCAAGCTAGGAAAAGAAGAAAGACAGAAGATAGACATTCTTATGTTTCTACGGTGGTGCAAGCCAAGGAGGTATGTGACACTATAATTGCAGAAATCAAAAGAAGATTTTCATTCACTTGCCATCTGGAAATAGCGCACTTATTTTCAGTTGATAATTTTGATACATTTTCAACGAATTTTCCCATACTAAACCTAAATTCAGCGATTATGAATTTTCCTTTTTTGAACAAGCATAAATTGAAGACAGAACTGGAAATAATATACAGAAGATCAGATTTTAGAGAAGTTTCAGGAGCAGTCCACCTACTTAAATTTTTAATTGAAAATAATTTGCAAGTAGATTTTTCAGAGACGTTTTTAGTGCTACAAGCAATTGTTACGATGCCCATGACAACCGCAGAAGCGGAACGTTGTTTCTCCACATTAAAACGAATAAAAACTTTTCTTAGAAGTACAATGGGTGAAAATAGGTTAACTGCCCTCGCAATGTTATCTATTGAGAAACAAATGATTCAAGAGATCCCAAATTTTAATGAATTAGTTATTGATGCATTTATCTCGAAAAAGGACAGACGTATTGATTTTCAATTCAAAACGTGTTTGTGAAGTATAAAAACTATTATTCCTATATCTATAAAGACAATTGTTTTGGCAAGGCCGAAGTATTCATCAGAGACAGCAGGGTAAGTTATTAATTTTTAATTTTTTAATAAGATCCTTTAATTTGCTAACCCAGATTGACGGTTTGATAGCGCTTAAAGAATATTTTTGGACGTGGTTGTGTGGCACCCAATTTTTTTTGTATCTTACGTTGTGCACCCCCAGAGTATTGAACCACGCGCCGCCGCTGCTGTAGACAAATCGTATAATCTCTTACGAGCAATTCCTTAACTCGCTACATTAAGCTGAAGGTCGGTTGAAACGCCTAGCATTTGAATTTACTACGCAAGATCAGCGGCTCATTTTTGACGGCTGAACTTCTGTCTAATGTGGCGCTAGCCTAAGACTTCATATTGGACATTCCAAACTGAATGGCTACCAGTGGGTTTTGACAGTTTATGATATGGCAAAATTATGGCAACCCTGTAGGCCTGGTGATTTGACAAGGTCAATGAAATAGATAGTTACATAGATTGATCATCCATATTTTTCAAAATAAACATAAGCTTATGCGTTGAAGTAAAAATGTAAGTAATTATATTTTGTTAAATATCTAAACGATGAAAATTGGTTTTAAAACAAATTTTTGTTAAACCGATTCAAATTAATAAATATTTGCCAGGCAATATGGCCGCTCGCGAATTACCAGCTTTGATCAATCTATATAACCATATATGTATCATTGACCCTGTTAATGACAACATGACAACTGGGTTGTCATATCTAAACTGTCAGTCCCCACTGGTAGCCATTTGGACAGGTCATTGGAATGCCTAATTGGGTTCACAAGACATCAACAATTGAGTAGTTGAATAAGTGATCGCACGATGACTTTAGAATGTCATCTGCTGCAAATTTTACCCAGCGCGATGAATTTGCGCTGAGCCGACTCAACATATGCTTAGACATGAGCAGTGAGATGACAGTTTATTGTTGCGCGTGCTTTCTTGATTTTTAAAACGTACATATTATGGAAACTCACATACTTTGATTACTATACGAGGCAAGAGAGAGGTCCGACACGCCCAACATAGGGCGCGGCCATTTTGAACCCTGTGACACAGTTTACAGCTAAAGAATCAGAACGCTCACTCTGCGTCGGCACTTTTGATTTCAATGTTTCAGTTTATACACTGTGCAACTCGGATAATACAATATATGACAACCGCCTATAATAAAACAGCAGTCTTCTGCGTATCCTGAATTTGTATCCCTTGGAACTTTCAACTGGTCCGAGTGAGCTAACTGATTCTTTAGCAATAAACTGTGACTCCAAAAATAATATTCACTGACACTAACAGCAGCAAGCAAAATATCAGGTTTACTTTAATCATCCGATTCTGCTTCCGGAATTGTCGGTTTAGTCGTTTTAACCTGTCAGATGAAACAAACAAGAAAACCGACAATTCCGAAGCAGAAGCGGATGATTAAAACGCACCTATTAAAAATATTGCGCCAAGATGTAGGCAACACGTAATAAGGGTTCAAAATGGCGGAGTTTTCTATCTCCTTTTAAAAGGCACTCAGAAAGCTGCGCAGTGCGACCATTCTCCGTATAGTAAAAGAAAATCAAAGTATATGAATTAGGGCCAACGTGGATCAAACGGTTACTAGATGTTTTAGAATTTTCTTGAACATGTACTAGGATATCTTAAGTCATTAGTTACAATTTTTGGTCTGCCAGACCTTAGGCGATCCTGTACGTAATCGGATTCATTAAATATATTCATTATTCTCTAAAAAATCGTAGATCTATTTATAGGAGATCTTTGCAATGTTATAGGATTTTTTATTTGTAATGTAGTGCTTTTTTAGTATTCTTAAAAAGAACAAAAAATATGCTTTTTCCTGATATATCACTCGACCTACATCGCCATTTAAAAAAATTAAAGATGGCGACAGTACGCTAAACGCTGACGCCACATAAATTTGACATGTCCTTCAAAAATGCAAAATACAGTCCCATTCATCACCCTACAATTTAATAATTATACATTTATTCGTTTTGCTACCTTGTATAAAGCAACTGTATAAATGCACTGCTGATTATTTCTGTAAAACTTACCACAATGACGTATTTTATTTTTTCTGTTAAGCATCCGTAGCAACCAAAAACTGCTAAAACTATTAAAGATGTGCCAACAGGTATTATTAATACTGGGATTATCGTGAGATCATCGAATTCGTCTGGAATTGCGTCTATTATTTCTTCATAATTTACTTTGTAGATTATTCCTAGTGATATGAGAGAAATTCCAACTAACTGAAAATAAATAAAAAACTATAAATATTTAACTTTTATCTTGAATAATACCATTATCATTGTATTTAGATATCCTAGTAGATCAACCTTATATGGTCGTTTCATTGGAGGCAATTCTGTCGCGACATCTGTTAGAACTGTACAGAAATTCACTAAAATGGCTCGTTTGCTAGGCGCTCCCTTGATCATTGAGTATAGAATTCAATACACATAAAGTATCTTAATTTTTAAATTAATTTGGGTAGACTGTCAAATTTAAATTTATATTGTTTATAGTCTCTAAAATGATTAAAATCGTAAATAAATGTTCATCAAGTATATTTAAACTCGTATATCTCATTTTTAAAACAACTATTCTGACTCGAGTGTCATTCCATCTATTAGTAAATAGAGAAATTACGTTTGTTATTCATTTTCGACAACCGTTCGATAGCTCGGTAGAAGACGACAAAATTATCAAAGCCATCATTGTATAAAGAACTATAGTAGGATAATCGCCATGTAAAAGTTATTGGAGGAAATCGCGCCCGACATCTATTGGTACAATCATTGAACTAACGATTTTATTTACTGGTTACTACGTCAGATGTTAGAACTTTATAAGTGACAATTCCGTCAAATTAATTGTCAATATATATTTTTTTAGTTATTAAGATTAAATATAATTAAAAATTAGTAATTCTTGTGAAGAATCAATAAATAATAGCATTCCGCAAGATATTCGTCTATATTTAAAAATAAACTGAGATTTTAATGAAACTAAAAGCAATCTGATTATCAGCGTTAAAAAGTAAAACTTTCTCGTAAGCCTCCATAACGAATATTTAGAGTACTCGTCTATGAATCGAAAGGTTCCGAGTTCAAACCCACGAGTAGACACTTTTTTTTTAATTATTATTTTCTAAATTGGTAAAACTTAAATTAATTTCAAAACATTAATTTTACGTTAATGACATCTAAATCTTTATGCTTAAATTTCGTCTTTTTGCTATGACACTCGGGATCATCAAATTATAATAGAATATAAGGTCCGGTAATTTTATTTAAATCTTTTGACAATGAAACTAAAAATGTGTATGTCTAAAGGAGAAATAGGTAGGGGAGAGGGTGGAGGGTTCGGCCCCTGGGAGGATTCGGCCACCAGCGATTTTATTTTACTATTTCAAATTTCCCGCGAATCGTCTATGATTTTTGGCGCACAAAAGCTTGTTTTTAGTATTCAACCGCATGGACTGTGTCTCCTAGTGTTTGTTTGTGTTGATAAATTTTTTTGGAGAAAATAAGGTGAGTTTTGCAATTTTCAAATTTAAAAAACTCTTGTGAATAATCAATTTGATCAAATATTTCACTTAGTGCATGTATTTAGTGGCATATTGATGGCTATGTTTCATAGATAACCTGACCCTAAATATTAATAGTTACTGGCATATGTGCCATGTTTGTAATTTTGGACTAGTGGGTAATATTTAATCATTTTTTCGTTCAATTTTGTAGATGCCTCGAAAGTATAAGCGTAAAACTGACAGAGAAGTTGATGAACTGATGATAAAAAATGCGATTCGCTCCTATTTTACAAGAGAATGTGGCCTAAGGGAGGCAGCAAGAAGATATGATATTAAAAGGACAACTTTACAATCCAGAATTAAGAAAATGCGAAGCCTAAAACCTGATGAAGAGATAAGAAGGCAACTGGAGGATTCCGGAAATGAAAGCGATATTGACGAACCTTCCAACAAGTTTGGTAATAAATATACAGTTTCACAAGTTTTTACATTTGAAGAAGAAACGCACCTTAGAAAATACATTCAGCAAGCATCCGACTTAAATTATGGTTTGGATTATACCCAGATTAAAAAACTAGCCTATGAATATGCAATAAAAATACCAAACTGCTAAATTCCCGAAACCTGGCATCAGAAAAAGAAAGCAGGTAAGTTTTACAATTTTATAAAAAATTGATGTTACCTCTTGTTGTCTATACAAAATCTGTATGTTAAGTTACACATTCTAAAATTACACCGAATCTTTAAATATATCTGGAGATAGGCTGACACCTTAGCATTAATAAAGCGATACTTTTGCTTGGGGTTGACTTCAATCACAGCCTCTTGTTTAAGTTTATTTTTTAACTTGATCCTACACATGATTCCTAAAAAAGTTTTGATTTTTTTAGGAATCGAATGGAGAAAGGGGTTCATGGAAAGAAATAAGCAATTTTTGTCCTTAAGAAAACCAGAAAGCACGAGCCTATTGCGAAACACTGGATTTAACAAAGCCCGTGTTGAGGAATTTTTTACAAATTATAGATTAGTTCAAGAAAGACATCATTTTAATGCAGCTCAAATCTACAACCTTGACGAAACAGGCGTAACAACTGTTATGAAGCCAATAAAAGTAGTATCGACAAAAGGAAAAAAACAAGTGGGTCAAGTTGCGTCAGGCGAAAGAGGTGAATTAGTCACCTTTGTAGGAATAATTTCCGCTATAGGTAATACCGTTCCTCCAGTATTTGTGTATCCACGTGTGATGAATCCTTCAAAGTACATGATCAATCCACCTGCTTCAAGTTTAGCTTTAGGAAATAAGTCTGGGTGGATGACTGGAGATCTATTTCCGAAAGTACTGGAACATATTGTGCACCACACCAAGTGCTCAAAAGAAAAACAAATACTTCTGATAATCGACAACCACGAGTCACACACCAGTGTCAAGCCTATAGAATTTTTCCGCGAACATGGAATCGTGTTATTATCATTCCCTCCCCATACAACCCATAGGTTGCAACCGTTAGATGTGGGCGTCTACGGTCCATTTAAAAATAAACTTGCTATAGCTTTTAACGACTGGATGTTAAGTAATCCAGGAAAACCTGTTACAATTACAAATATAGCAGAGCTTACGAATATAGTATATCTAACATCTTTTACTCCATTAAACATAATAAGTTCGTTTAAAAATACAGGAATCTGGCCGGTAAATAGCTTGGATTTTTCTGAATCTGATTTTACTCCAAGCACAGTTACTGATAATGATATAACACTAAACACTGCATCAGAAGCACAAAAAACACCACCCAACCTTAACACTAAAAATGAAAATAGTAACAAAAATATATATGACAATCCACAACCCTCCACTTCCAAAAGTTCACAAGAAGACTTGGCTCAAATAAATCAATCAGAATCAAATTTAGAAAAACAAACTGTGAAGATAATATTAAATAACTCTAATGATGTAACAAATGATACCAGTCTTCTTGAAACAATAAGACCTTTTCCAAAAGCACAACGGCCCAGGTAACAATGAATCTTGGCTGTCGCTTGGCAAAATGTTGGTCCCATATTTGAAACTTGGACCAATATTAATGATCTGCAGCCAATATTGGCAAAAGAACTTTATTTTATGACTAAAAGATATTGCTTCATAATATTGCCCTTATATTAGTCCAACATATAGTTCTAACGTTTATATTGGCAAAACCTATTTTCACAATATTGATCCAATATAATTTAGCATTTTTGTTCCAATGTGGGTGAGATATAGCAAATAACGGCAGGTTATTGGATTTTTATTGATTTTCTATTTAGGTTTAATATTTGTTTTGTAGATAGGGCCAATCTTGAAGAATTATGTTCTCTAAATGATGAAACAATAGCAGTTGCCCATATTGGTAACAGAATTCAATTTTATATCAAAAAAATATTTATTCAAAACATATGATTAATATCAGCCCAACATATTTTTCTAAAGTTCATAGTGGCAATGCCTATTTTTCCAATATTAATCCAATATACAGTATCCCTTTTGCACCAATGTTGATGCAATATAGCATATATTGGTAGTTTATTGGATTTTCTATGTAGGTTTAATCTTTGTTTAGTAGATAGTGCCAATGTTGGAGAGCTATGTTCTGTCTATAATGTAAATATTAAAGAATTTAAAATTATGTTAAAAAAATATTGATTTTAAATATAGGATTAATAACAGTTCAACACATTTGTCTAATGTTAATATCGGCAACGCCTATTTTTTCTATATTAATTCAATATGATTTATTATTTTTGTTCCAATGTGGGAGCAATATGGCAAATGATGGTAATTTATTGGATTTTTATTGATTTTCTATTTAGGTTTAAACTATGTTTTGTTGATATTGCCAATGTTAGAAAGCTACATTCTCTTAATGATGACAAAATAACAGTAGCCTATATTGGCAACAGAATTCAGTCTGATATAAAAAATATATTGATTTAAAACATTTGAACAATATCAGCCCAACATATTTTTTTAATGTTCATATTGGCAGCGCCTATTTTTCTAATATTAATCCAATATAATTTACCATTTTTTTGCAATGTGGTTGCAATATAGCAAATAATGGTAGTTTAGTGGATTTTTATTGATTTTCTGTCAAGGTTTTAAACTTTATTTTTTAGATAGTACCAATGTTGGAGAAATAGTTTCTGCTATCTCATATTGGGCAAATAATTCAATCTTATATCGAAATATAGGACTAATATTAGACGAACATGAATTTCTTATGTTCTTATTGGCAACGTTTTTTCCAATATGACTCCAATATAAGTTTTATTCCAATGTGGTATAATATAGCAAATAACGGTACTTAATTGGATTTTTATTGATTTTTTTCTACACCCACGTGCATATTAACTATTTTTTACATAATTTACATATGTAGGCCATATCAGTATGCTGAACGGAATAATCGATTATTTTCCAAATTAAACAAAGACTTTATTTTAAAACAAGTTGATTAATGCCAAGTAATAATTGTTTACTAAAAAAAAAAAAGATTTTGTTTCAATCCATTAAAAAAATGCGTTATGGGACTTGTGAGTTAAAAAAAAACGTCAAATTTTGCATTTTTTTTATAGAATAACTAAAGAGTTAAATATTCAAATTATAAAAATATAAAGGTATTAATTTAATATTGAAATATCTGATTTTTAGTTTATGAAAATTTTTATAAATACCTACCT